GCACATAGACGAATGTACGAGCGATCGAGAAGTGGTCTCATGCGAGCATGGATACCGTATATATTTACCCAAAGTGCTCCCTGTCAAATCTGAATATCTTATTTTTCACCGCGAATCGACAAATAAGCCCCGGCCATTCACGCGTACACAATGAGCAGCGATAAGTCAGGATTCGACAAAATAAGGCACGTACAAAGTTGCGGATTGATTTCCATAGGACCATTCGTAATATTGACAGTCAATAAAATTAAAATTCATCACTCCGCGCGTATCACCCCTCGGAACCCTCGGGGAGCGGAATTATAAATACGCTCTTTTACGTATTACATGCGTAATATCCCATGCGATTCGAGGGTATTATTCGCTTTTTCCATAGTTATAAATCACATTGGCATTTCCCCACATTTCGAGGCAGCAGCATCGAGCAGCAGCAGCAGGTATACAATTCGACGCAAGTGTACAGAGTGGCGGCGGTGGTGGCAGCGACGCATTATATGTATCGTATACAACATGTGTGACGAGTTTCTGTCTGCTGTGTAGCTGCTGTAGACGTGCTCCGTGTCTGCACTATTGTGTCTCTATATACACGTTTATATATATATGATAATGTATACAAGGCGCCTACGCTTCTCGCACACCTGTATGTGTAAAACACCTCGGCGATCGTGTTTGCCGCCACCGCCGCCGTTTCTCTTACGCCTTTCGCTCGAGCCCCGACAACACAATTGATTTATCGCGCAGTTTTGGAGCTTACTCTTTTCTTTCTCTCTTTCGTCTCTCTCTCTTTCTTTCTTCGATCTGCGAGCGTAATAAACGAAATCGACGAATTTGGTAGCTCGACGAGCACCTACGCACACCTATGTTTAACGAACTGCACCTGTGCACTCGATCTTCTTTCTCTCTCTATCTCTCTCGCAGACACTCTCTCTCTATCTTTGTTAATGTACAAGCGCGAGTAAAGTCAAAGAATGAAATGCACGCAGGAATGCAGACGCGAGAACGAGAAATCCAATAGGTGTGGCCGTGAGAGCTACATACTTGTCGGCCGCGCGTTTGATTAATTTTCCGCGGAAAATATGGCGAACGAAGGAAAAAAAGCGAAATCTACGTCCGATTCAGCGACGATCTCGAGTTATGCCGCGCTCTACGCACACGTATGGGATACACGAGAGCAGGCCGAAGATACGCAGAAACCGACATGCAGAATACACGTGTACTGTATGCACGTATACACAGAGGTATTTTTTCTTATATCGCAGCGAGTCGGGGGTGGGTGCGCATGAACAAATGGTAGGCGGAGGCGGCAGCCAAGATAGAATGCGCAAGAAGAAGAGGAAGAAGAGAACACAAGGTAAGCTCGAGGGCGCCTCGTGCATACACTAATATATACTCACAGTTATTTATCGTAGCTTCCGTTTGTGCTTTATTTGCTACATGTACGTACGCGAGCCTATGTATACGTGTATGTGTACTCTTCTCTCTCTACTTTTGCTGCTGCTGCTGCTGCTGCTGCTGCTTCGTTTATGAGCGGTATATATTTTTCATTTTTTCCTTTCTCATTCGCCTGCGTGTATAAAATACAATAAGAGAGGATTCTTGCGCTTGCGGACGCTCGTTCGATATTTTACTTTTTTTCTCCGTTTTCTTTTTCTCTCTTTTACCCGGGACTCGAGCAGAAAGTCGCGAAAAAATTGCAATAAGTTTATATAATCAAAAGGACAGAAAAGGCGCGCGCTGCACGCAGGCAAGTATCTATTATGCACGCGGTGGCGGCAACGGCGGCAACGGCGGCTGCGCGTAGTTTTCGATCCCTTCTTCGGCAGTTTAACAAACATAGTGATTAACCCTTCCCAGGCCGCAGCCAGAGCAGTGGCGGCGGCAGCAGCAGCTCCTTAAATCAAAAGAGAGGCGTTTACTGCACTACTGCAGGCCTGTGCCGCGCGCACTGTATGCCCACTGTTGCCCCCTTCCAGAAAAACAAGTACGCAGCGCACAGATATAAAGCAGAGAAATTGAGTGTATACATAATGTCCGGAGAAAGAATAATACACATTGCAGCGAGAGAGAGAGAAAAGCAGCGTACATATGCATGTATGCGTGTATGTGTGTATGTGGCCGTGCGTGTGTGCTTGCACGCGGAGCGCGAGCGTCCATTTACTACATACTCTAATTGGCCACTTTGTCCATTTATTCGATTTATTTAAATTATGGGACAATTGACAGTATATAAGGCATTCTATTTTTTTTTAAATCTACCAGAGGCAGCGCGCGATGACTGATTGGGTGGGATTGGCGTGAGACACCGGCCCCACAGATTCCCCAGTTATGGGCTTAATCAGCTTTGATTGCTGCTGCTGCTGCGCTGCGCTGCGCGACTCTATACACAGAGACTCGATTCGCAGTTGACGTCGTCGTCCGTTTTATAAGCCACGTCAAAGTGTTTTATCGACTTTTTTTTCATTCCAAGATCTTCTTCCGTGCCTTTCTTTGCCTTCTTCCTCTCTATAATGCGCGCGCCTCTATTCGCAATGTCTACGTATACATTATACAATGATATGTGTCGCATTGTCTGACACACAAAGTTTCGACCTGATGATTTTTAGCCTCAATATATTCCGGAAAATAACGCGATACCCAGCTTTTTTTTAAATATTCTTGTTTGTCTATGGAATCAATAATCATATAACAGATTTGTTTGACTACACGGAGAAAAAAATATAATAAATATTGTTAGAATTTACAGTAAAAATTACTATAATATCTAGTAAAGAGGTGACATCGACACATTTTAGTAATTTTTACTATTCAATGTAGGAAAAATTTATTCTTTTGAATTCTATCAAAATTTCCCATTTATTACAGTAATTTTTATATTATGAGTAGTAATGTTTCTTGTTTGAATAGTAACTTTTCTTATACAGATTAATAATCATTGATATAAACTGTATTAAATTTTCCGTGGGTAAATGAAATTTAGAATAAAAATTTTTTTTTCATTAATCGATTGATTTGATCTCATTGGAGGTTTGAAGGTGTATTTTTCGAATGACAATTTTGGAAATTTTATTATTTTCGGGACTAGTCGTATCAAACTCTAACCGCACGCTCGCTGTATTTTAATCCTACCTAATCTTAATAACCTAATACTACTACTAAACGCACGCTCATATAGTATAACATGTTAGTAAGCTTGATCATTGTGTTTTCATCTTCTATATATAGTAAGCTGGTTCAAATTTTAGCCACTTGCGGGTATGCAAAGCGACATCTAGCCATGATATTGGAAGTTCATTCACACAAGAAAAGTTACTGTACGCATAGCAAATTTTGCTATACAAGGTGTACTTTTTCGTGCTTGTACAGCAACATTTGCTAAGATCATATTATTTAGTATTATGTTTCTTAACATATAATATGTAACTTTAAAATAAAATTTACTACAGTGAAATTTTTACTATACACTATAGCAATTATTGTACCGAGTTTTATTAGAATATTTAATACCTTTAAGAATATTTGTTTTAATATTATCAAAATTCCTGATAATAGATCGATGTCACCTCATTACTATTTAGAATAGTAATTTTTACTGTGAATCCTAACAATATTTGTTGTATTATTTTCTTCGTGTAACAATTTTACGGACATTTTTAATTTTAATAAAACATTCAAAAATTTTTGTGAGATTCTGTTTTTACGAACAATTTTTTAGTACACAAATGAAGAATGAGTTTACAAAATATGAAATAATTTTTAATCAATAAAGATGTTCTTCATAAACCGTTAACTCATTTTTCACTCGGCAAAAGCACAATTGTCTCCTGGTAATTAAAAAGCGCGTCATCGTAACTGTATTGCTCCAAAATTGAAATTGCCTCATCAGGCGCGTTGATACTGTTCGTACGCAAAAAAAAAAAAAAATAAAAGGAGGAGTTTCAACAAAAACTTTAATCTGCACCGATGATCTTGGTGCGTAAATTTGTATATCCAAGATCGTGCGCGCGCACGAATAGCAAAAAAGTAAAATGATTTTTGTTTACATCGTTGAGCAATCGCATTGAGATGTAAATATTTTTTTCCAACATTCGGGTGGCCGCGTATACACGCTCATGTAGAAGGAAAAAAAATTTCGCCTTTAACGATGCTGTGTATGTAGCCGAGATTGTATCGTCACGCATGATGTCATATTAGATACGTGTACACGCGCGCGCTCGCGAGCGAGTTCAGAATTGTTTAGTCCCGCATCATTCGTTGTCGGCGAAAGTTATTCAATTGTTACGACACGCGATTATAAAACAACAATCTCGCCCCTAAAAGTCTATTAATTTCAATCATCTAGCGTTTCGATAATTTTCAATTGACAGGCATTTTTGCACGAAAAAAAATAGACCCGCTCAGTGTGGGCGGATATTTCCAATATAAGTGTGAACCCCCAGCGCTCGGCCTGTGTACGGCTTTTGGGGGAATACCGTGATCAAATTGAAGAGCTTAAATACGTTCCCACTGGCGAAAACGTTTACTTTGCTCGGCTCCCGCGCCACAACGATAGAATGCCCACGGCCCGTGTTTTATCAAATCTTAATGAATTAATTTTCAAGCATATTTGTACGGAGGCGCTATTGAACAGATGGAGCACTTAAAACGGATTTGAATTAATCATTCGTCTATTCATTTCAAGATGAATAAGTCGCTTTTTTCTTATTCCGAAATGATTAACAATCCTTTCAAATTTTGCGTGTTTTACATCTTTATGCAAATTTTTGACGAAACATAAATAGCTACTCATTTTTTTCATCATTTTTCACGCCGTAACATAATAACAGCTTGTGTCGACTAGTGTATTATGAAATTTGAATTTCAAATTTGTACACAGGCATTCACAAAAGTGATCTCTTTGATCTTGAGGAGATTGTGTGATTGTGTTTTTTTGCGTCAAAAGAATGATGAAAAAAAGTGTAGCATTTTTTAATTAAATAAACCTTAAGGAAATGATTACTCACCGGAAACTTTGGGGTCAGATGCCTCCACCTTTATTGCTGCAAGACTTGCTATCGACGGCGGTACCTATTACAAAGAAAATCATCGTCATGTGCATATATTCGAGTTGATCGTAAATAATCAAGTTTCTGATCGGCCAATGAAGCAATCGACACGAGCAAAAAATTAGTACACTATTTTACATGCTGAAAGACTCGTGTGGTGCGAATACGGGATTTTTTTATAAATACGCGTTGAATTTCGAAAAAAATGCATTGTATGCAGAATGAAGACAGAAACTCGGTTCGAAGTCCTAAGAGAGAAAAAGCCATGAACGGCCGATTTCCGGTTTTCCGCTAAAAATTCAAACAACTCGCACGTAAAAAAATTGCGAGACGATACGGCAAAAGTGCAGCGACCTTGTTGCTCGCGATCGACAATGGCATTTTGAATATTCAGAGGCGCGCGAAAAGTCGAGGCTTTTATTGATCGAAATTGCGCCGAGCGTAGCTTCCTTTTTTTTTAATCGACTCGTTCGGACTCAGAAGAAAGAGACCGAGTTCATAATATAACGTGCTATGTGTGTTTCTTAGAATGCGGTTATTTTTGCGCTACTGTTACGCAGAAGACGAGCAGCTATCTTTCAATTGGCCGATGGAAACTCTTAATTCATCTGATGTTCTTAATATACGGCGATGCTATATAGCGCGCATACGTATGCGTATTTTCAAGATTCGTCGATTTGAAGCGAGTGCAATTACGCGAAGCTAAAGTCAATTCGAATAAAAGACTGCGCGAGAGCTGCAAGAAAAAGAAGCCCACCAAGCGGCATAGAAATTATTCCGAATCCTGTACGATTTCCGAAGCCCTAAAGTGGCAAAAAGAAGAAAAAAAGGCAGGCCAGACACTTATTAAGTCGTTACAACATCGCAGCTCTTTTTATATATTCTCGACACATCAACCTCCCTCGTCTTTGGCCAAGTCCACTATGATAATGTACGTAGACGGCGTGCGTATTCCGCAGTCGCGCCCGCAGTGTCTCTCATTCTCCGCACGCTGGTCATTTACAACTTCATTATGCGCTCTGCATCTCTGTCTGTCTTTCTCCCTCTCATTCTCTCTCTCTCTCTCTCTCTCTCTCTATGCGCGTTGCGCATTTATGCATAATTAATTTGGAAAAGAAAAGCTCATAAAAGTCAGTCAGATGCAGAGAAAAAGCGTTTGACGAAAGGGTAATTAGTGTAGGTATAAGCGAACGATAGCATCAATTAAGCATACTTTCCTCGGCGAGGAAGAGGAGGAGATGTATGATCATTGTTCCTAACTTGGAGCGTTTAAGACGCGGTACAATATAAATTTAATTGAGGCTTGTGTGTAAGTACGTGTATGCATTCTTAATATTCATCCCTCCCCCGCAAACTGATACGTGTAACCATATAGCCGAGAGAGAGAGAGAGAAAGAGAGAGAGAAAGAGAGTCGCCAATACCGCACACGTACTCCATTGCACATAACGAAGTGAAAAATGTATGATGAATAGCGAATTGTACTCTCTCTCTTTTGCACTAAAGGCTTCGATTAGCTTCGATTCACTTTCCTATACGCGCATATAAACGTACGAGTACGTGTTCATTCTCTCCCTTCTACAATGGTCTACGTTAACAAGGATTTCCTGGAAGTATACGCGTTACTTTATGTGTATCTCTCTCGGCTGCTGTTGGTGCAGCTTCTATCTTCTCCGGCTATATGTTATTTGTATTGCTGGCTGCGCTACTGGCCGCATCGACTGGGAAATACGTGCATTTTTGCTGGCGCAATCGAGGGTGCAACGTGAATATGAATATATAGAGAAAATTGCCGACGCCACGCAGAGAACAAAAACTCGAGAGCAAGATGCACTTGATGTCTCTGTCTGGGACGAGCCACTGCAAACATGGCGCGATACGTAACGAGCTCGTACTTTTTGCACTAAGCAGCTCAGCAGCAGCAGCAACAGTTGAAGGCGACACGTGCATTTTTTCGCGTTTTCAGGTCTTTTAACGAGAAAAGTCGAGCGGGTAAAAAAATTGTTTTGCTAAATTATCTCGTTAGAATCGAGTGCGCGCGTAAGAGAGAGAGAGAGAGAGACTGATTTACGCGACGCGCGTATTTCACAGCTTGAAAAATCGATAGCCGTGGCCCGTTAATACGCGCACGGTGTGCAGGCTCGCGCGTGATAGATTTATCGAGTGCTTGAGTGGCCGTTTGAAACTGTTAATGAATCTGTCAATCCGCGTACACGGGTCGATAAAAAAAAAGGAAAAAACGGAACGGCTCATTTTACGCGAGAAAAGCCGAGTTTTGTCTCAAGACGAGAAAATACGCGCGATGTGCGCGATCCGATGAATGACCTTACGTCACGAAGTATCAGCGAATATCTCACACGCACACACACACACATACTGCACGCATGCATGCATATACAGTGCCGTATGTAAATAAGCCGCTGGCTCTCTCTATGCACGCGAGCAGAGGTGGGGGTATGTATGTATGATTTAGTACGTAGTGCTGCATTCTCTTCTCTGGTATACATGCATATGCGTGTATCATAGAATGCAGCGCGTTTTATAGAGTAGGGTAGGTGGATTGAGGAGGAAGAGCAGCAGCAGCAGCGGCAGCAGCGGGGTGGAAGGGGCAAGATATCCTTCAGGTCGAGAAGCATAGAATCAGCAAACGAAGGAGCAGAAGAAGAGGCAGAAGCGAAAAGAAGAAGAAGTCACCGGCGCTCTCGGATGGGAGTACACACAAGGAGGAGCATAATACGAGAAAACAATAGCAGCCTGATTTGCAAACAATAGAATAACGTTAAAAACGGCAAGAAAAGAGAGAGAGAGAGAGAGCGTGGTTATAAGCGCCGCTTCATGTCTGCATATGCCCATTAATATTCAAAGGCGAAAATAATGTAAACGACACGGCAAAAATCGTCCACGCAGGAATAATTTCAATTCCTGCAGCGGCAGAAAAGGGATACCCGCTCTTGCGCGCGCCGAGCCGCAGCAAAAGGTGAAACGGGCCGATTGGGAAGGAATTCATGTTGCGCAGGCACAAGTACACACGTACCCTTCCTCGCCGCGGTCATTCGGTTTCTCGCTCTGTCTCGCTCCATCTTTTGCTCTCTTCTTCTCTTGTTACTACCAGTGTAATGTACTTATATTTTTTGCTCTCCTTTTTTTTTATTTCGCTAACTCGCTATATATACTTTGTTCTACACGTACTGGTGTTTTCAGTGTGTTTGTTGCACGAGGAAAAATGCCCGGCTCATGATAATAATATATATTTCTTTTTTATTGCGACCGATGCGCGCGCTGCTCTTTTGTATTCGTAATTTTTCCATGACTATTGTCGAGCTTTTTTCTCTAACCTCGGCAATAGCCATTTAAAAATATGATAATAACTTGGTTATTTCGTATGCTTGACGCATGCCGTATCTAAAAGAAATTAATAATTGCCGGCATTGTCGTTTTTGTGACAAGCTTAAGAGATACGTCAAGTCTGAATGTCATTAAAAAGTGCACAAAATGCCGGAGGAAATTAAAAGACTCCGCCCACGTTAATTAAAGTCGTAGCGTAAACAGAACGAGAGAGAAGAGAGAGAGAGAGAGAAATGAGAAATGGTCAATTGCATCTAGCCATCGAGTGAAAAGTGAACTATAACCTTGTGTGTACATATGTAAGAGAAGCAACTCGGTGAATGCAAGCGTCTCATTTAATCGATTCTTCGAGGAGAAGATATGAACGAATTGCCATCATTACCATAATAGCAATCAGCGGATTTTTTGTCCGCCTTTGGAAATTTCGCAATACAATGGGTCGTTTGGAAAAATATACCGCGCGCTCACGCGCTAGCGCAAAAAGTAAACGAAAAATCCATTAATGACTCGGGTTTCAAGGCTCGGACTTGCTTTGCTGCATTTTTATCGTTTTTCAATTTTATCATAAATTATTTCGCGTCAGAGAGCTGTATGGCTCTCTGCGGACTGCGCAGCCACAGTGTACCACTGCGCCACGCGCTTATACATATCTACATCGGTTAAATATTACGAGCAATTTAATGGCTATAACGTACATGCTGGTCGGATTTTTTGCCTCGCTACGCGAAACAGTTTGGCAGGCCGAGCAATATATATATTTTATATTTATTTCTTACTGCAGCAGCAGCAGCAGCAGCAGCGGCAGCTCGTCGGCTCAATAATGATCTAGTTAAGCGTTGGGGTGAAATTAATAATTTATCGAGTGATAGGATAGTTTACTGCGGCGCGCCAGTCGCTACCACATGCTTTATGGATTCGGACTCGGCGCAGAAGCATCTAATTAGTACACGGTCGAAAACGAAGACGAAAACAAGAAAAAAAAAGTGAGTGACTTACCCTGGCCTCTTCGCCGTCCTCCCTCCTGCCTTGGTACACTCCCATTTGGACTTGCAAGTTTTGTTGGAGTAGCTGCGCCAACTGCGGATTCTGCGTGAGTATCGCCGGATTCTGCTGCAGCAGTTGCGCCAGGGCCGGGTTCTGAGATAATATTTGTGCTAAGGGTGACTGATGAAAGCCGATGGCAGCAGCGGCTGCAGCGGCGGCGGCTGTGCTTGCGGCAGCTGCCTGCGAGGCGGACGCGTTGCTGCTGGCGCTGCTGCTGCTGTTGGACAAGGTCGCCGTCGTCGTGGTCGTCGTCATCGTCGGGGTCATCGGTTGTTGCTGCTGCTGCTGCGACGAAGCCGCCACGATGATGGCCCTCGATGGGCTCTTCGGCGTGTGAGGTGGCGTCGGTGGACTGCCTGCGTTCGACGACGTCTCCTTCGAGTCCTCTTTCGCTTTCGATCTGCTGCTCGCTGAGGGAGATAAAAGTGACTAACGTTAAAATTTCGCCCAAACTGGTACAGCAGCAATTTATTCATCAACAATTGTGTGTACGGCACGATTAATAAAATACGTCTCCGTGCGAGCGCGAAAATCAATCACGATTTCTTATTACCAATAAAATTATTGATTGATCGTATGTATAGGCACAAGCGTGCTTGTTTGTGTGTATATGTGTGTGCGCACACGTAAAAGGAGTATAAAAGCTACGACTATGTTTACACCCATGCACACGAGTATACATATCACGTGAAAAGTTCGTAAATATACAAGCGGACGACATTTTAAAATACAAAACAGTTGCAGGCGCGCGAGCTCCATGGGTATTCGCAACCGTATACTCGAGAAAGTAAATCTTGCAAACACAATGAAACGTCAAGTCCGCACGGAATCACTTTTGACGCGATAATATAACATTTGGCCGGGATAAGTGGAGGATTTTGCCGGAAAAATTCAAAGTCCAAGTTGTAAATTACGTGCAATTCTCCTCTTATAAGCTGAGAAAACGTATTCGGGCGCGTTGGAAGCTGTAAATTGAAAAGGCTACATTCCCACGAGTTTATCACCAGAGATCGCACTTATAGAACTGCACATTTTTCATCGTCACTTATTACGTCTCGATATCACTGCGGCACTCTCGAGGATAATCCGGCATGAAATTCACTCGACCGCAGAGACAAACGGCCCTAAATAATAGCGCACACACACACACAACACGCGCACCCCTCGTGTTTTTTCCTACATGCATATACAGCGGCGTACGCAGAGCATCGCACACAGCTCGGGATACGTATGTGCGTGCGAACGCGACTGCGTGGCGGGGGCGCGGCCTACTGCGCCTCGCGATTGGCCGGGGAATTTTTGCACGCGCCGGACTTTAATTGACTTTTGAGCGAGAGAGAATGGCTTCTGCCGCCTGTGCCGTCACCGAACGCACGTTGCAAGTGAGCCTGGTGCACTCCGGTGTTTCTTGAAAATGGAACTGCAGCTCGAGCAAGAGCATGGACACACACAAACGAACGCACACAAACACAAACAGACACGCATCGGCACAACGTTTTTATCTCTTGAAATATCGCGCCTATTACCCATGATCGAGAGACCCATGTCGCTCGCTGCAGACGACGACGATTACGGTCGCATGAGATCTGCTCTGTGTTGGTATATATAGGAGAGACGCGCACACGCCTTGTGCCTTTCGCTCTGTGCCGCGTTTGCGGCCAAACTGAGAAAAGGAGTTCATCAATCGCGGCCAGCATCTCTCGTTTTCCCCAGTCACGGAAAAAATCGTACTACTTGAAGATCCGAGTGGGGATAAACTCTGACTCCTCCTAACTTCTCATTGGTCTAAGGCACATCTCTCGGGCTTATTCGCGTTCGCCTATATACGAGTCTCTCTCTCTCTCACTCTCTTTCCTTTTACTTCAAGCAGAAGCCGAGGTATTACAAGAATAAGGAAAAAATCCTGAAGGTTTCGTGTGTTAATCGATCTCTCTCTCTCTCTCTCTCTCTTTTTCTCTTTCCTTCTTTCTATCGAAGGCTAGGGGTTAGCCGAGGGTCGAGCTCGTATAGCGAAAGTAACTTGGTGAAATTGAGACGTCTAGGAACATTATAAAGTCCCCGGTAATCGCTCTTGCTTCTCTCTCTTTCTCTCTCTCTCCTTCTCTCTCACTACAGCAGGTACATCTGCTGCGCTTTAATCGATCAATTGCTTCCTCTCACTCGACTTTTTTTTAGCCAAAAAACAGATACTGTCTCACCCTTCTTACTTGTGCGCCGCAGTAATATTACGTGAATTTATTACTCGGCCCGTCGAACGCGTGTGTTTTTTTTGCGCGCGACTGCGCCGTACACTATGGGGTATCTATCGCCGCTTCGAGATGATTTTTTTATTATTGAGGATTGAGGATAGCAAGAGCTAATAATCCAAATATTTGGCAAAAGCAGGGTGTTTTGTCTTCGGCTTTCCCATAGACTCATTACATAGCGATTCGTATTTTTTAGAAGCCGCTTCGAGGGTACATATCGCTTTCAACGCTTCTTCAGCCCCGTTTCTTCTTCCTATTTTTTTTTTGTTTCTGATGAATCGAGCGGATGATCTATAGTATCAGTGAACGATTTAATTTTTCTCGATGCTTTGCGATGAAAAATATATAGAGGGGATTAGTTAACTGTTTTGATAAACGGGACCTATTCAGAAGTTCGTTGCAACAATAAAAACGATCCGCGATATCAGCTAGCTATACTTTTTGTCGAGCATTTTTTCGGCGCTATATGGAATTTCACCGGATGAATTATTACCTCGAAACGAGCTCGCTGGTGTTACACATTTTTACGGTAGCCTCTGGATGAAATGATAATTTTTCTAATTTACATTGATTTAATGGCCACTTCCGTCGACGTGCCGCAGCTCGATTGTATTTTCTAGTGGCGGACAGAAATATTGCGCACACGATAATCAAAGCCATAAAGAGAATTATTAACCATAAAGACGAATCGCTTATTCAATATGCGAAAGTACCATGGCATCTATGAAGGATACCTTATAAAGAGCTTTTGATGTTTTGAATATACCACCATGCCATAATAAAAGTCTCATGAAGTTACCCACGCATCGTTTCTCCGACAAAATTCACGATTAGAAAGAAAAAAAAAATATCTGCTATACGAGGCTTACGCGTCAGTCGAACGGATTCTTTTTTCACCCATTACAAAAACAGTCTCCGTCTCGTATTGAGCACGTCCTCCTCTCACCTTTTGCTCGCTGCGCACAATGCGGGTACGTGCTGGTGCATCCGCATCGATGCTCAGTAGCAGACAGTGGCCCATCATTCTCGTTCTCTTCTTTTTCCCTCTCTTTCTCTCTCTCAGTCTCTATCCGTCGATTTCTCGCGCCGATAAAGCAACTGTCTACTTTTCTCCCTTAATACGTAATAATAAACGAGGAAAAGGGGTTGAAGATATTCTGTTTGCGCTACGTTTTCCGCATCCATGTGAACCAACCCCCCTGTTATATGCACAGTACACTCCTTTTTTTGGTCTGCTAGAGACGATGTATATTACGTAATTTTTCATTTCTGCTTCCAGAGCTGAAAGGATGAGAAATTCCGTTGGAAGTTGAGAATTATCTGTCGCTCGAAGCGTAAGTACATACAGCTCCTTGGTAGGGGTTACATTTCCGTATTGAGATTTTCTGAACTTTGCTTATGCATATTCGTAATGGGAAAGGGTTGACGGGATCTTATAGTAATCAGAACCTCTGTTGGAGGTATGCAAACAGTGAAAGGGTGAGAATAACATTTCGAAGGCAAGTCTTTGATATTGACGAATTTGACTCCGTTTTTTTTGTCAATTGGAATCAAAATATTAGCATGATAATGTAGATGGGAATCTCCCGTAATATAATGGCATTTAATTTCACGAGGCAACATGCTCGCAACTGAAAAATACCTTGCAAAACATCAGCGAATTTTTCTCCGTCAATTCTGTGTATTATAAATGTCGATGCTATATACGCTAAGTTCGAGTTGTTGTGTAAGTAAATGCAATGAATGGCCAGCGGGTGGTCGAGGCCTTGTTTCTCTCGTTTCGGGCGATTTTTTACTTCATGTATACATTCGTTAGCATGAGTTTGGAATTCCGGCTACATTGCGTTATCAATTTTTTTATTCATTTTGCGTATTGTTTCGGCTCTACCTTACCCCACCGAATTTATAAACCGTACACTTCGTGTTCGTTTAAGAAAAAATCATTATTCATGCTACAACTTTTTCTCAGCGATTCCACGCAACACACTTGCGACAAGCGACGTGCAGAAAAAGTACATCATCATCGAGTCATCGATCATCAAAAAAGTTCGCAAAAATGTAACTGATCGTCGGGTATTTTAACGATTTTTACCTTGCGCACACATCATCAATCTATAACTCGGTACCTTCGTTTTTCGAAAAGTGCAAGATTTTTCGTAAACTTTGAGCGAAAAAATACGAGAGAAGTGCACGTCAAACATTTCGTCAACCTGAGCACCATGAAAAAAATCAATAACAACCAGGATTGATGATGTACGTAATTCTGAAATTTCGCTGGTGCAGACTAGAGTCGTGTATACGATATACATAGCAGACGTAAAAAGAGCCCTGTGAGTCATTGGTATAATACACTGGACTCGATTAATCATTCGCCTCACTGCGATGATGTCGGTATTATATTGAGCGAAAAAAACGTCGCAAACGACAAGAGTTCGGCTTCTCTCATGAGATCGCGGAAAAAAGGAGTAGAGAGAGACTCTCAAATGATAAATGACTAATTATCAAGCGGTAATAATTTTTTTACAGAAATTAAAAAAGTAAATGGAACGATATCGTTCACATGGGTGCATAAAAAAAACTCAAGTGGAAAAATTTTTATTAGAAATGTATCGTTTAAATTTATGAAAACTCGTAAAAAAAAGAGGTGCACGAACGCAGACATTTATGCCAATTTTTCAAAGCATCTCATCAGCCTCGATTTTACGAGGTACTTAAGCCTTTAAACGAATAGCATTCGTACGTGTATTTCCGTCCCTTCTTCGTGGACTCAAAGTATAGTGTTGGATTTCAAAATTTTGCACAGACTGAAATCGGTTAACTCTGACCCTCAGGTCTCCCTTTCGGGTTTCAGCAGCAGCAACAGCAGCAGCAGTAGTAGCAGCAGTTCTCAGGGGGTTAAATCGAGCGTACCAGGGCGCAAATATATAAATTTTCTCCCTCTTTTACGGAATCGCAGGCGCAGGTTAGATTCCTTTAAAGACGAAAACCTGTACACGCGTGAGCTGCAAAACAGCCGT